TTGTCTTTGGAAGCACATTTAAGTGTGTTTGACTTGAATCTACTGGAAACTCTTGCATTTATTGTTTTTATAGGTGTGTCCATGCCCCGTTTACCATCTTAATATTTTTTGATTTTCCTATAGATATAGACAGTTAACACACAATGCTCAACTCTTTTAAGTCAGCTCTGTTATCTTCTGCTTCTAAATTCAGGTAAAATAGAGGTTATTGTACTTGGCCCTAAAAAATATGTTTATACACCACTTTGCATTTAATCGTTACTTATTATTAATATCTGTCTCTCTTCCACAGCATGCTTGTTCTGTCTTCCTCACTTCACCCCAAATCGGTCATGGCAGATGGCCGCCACTCTCTGAGCCTTGTTCTGCCAAAGTTTTCTTCCTGTTAAAAGGGAGTTTTTTTCTTCCCACTGTCCCCAAGCACTTGCTCACAGGGAGTTATCTGATTGTTGGGGTTTTTCTGTCTTCTCTGTATCATCGCAGCGCCTTGAAGCAACTGTGATTTGGTTCTATATAAATAAAACTGAATTACATTTTTGTTATCAACATTTTAATATACAGTGAAAAAATTCCCAGCACTTCACTTGTACCACGTTTTGTCATATTACAGCCTTATTCCAAAGTACACCACATTGCCAAAGGTATTCATGTTTGCAGACAAGCTAGTTCCTGGTGACCATACAGGAGCAGTAATGATAGCCAGAGGCCTCAGGAAAGCACTTGCATGACTGTGTGGGGTCATCTAATGTGTGTCACTACGGTATAACGTCAGGTAAGGCCTATAAAACAACTGGAGCACTGTTATTACTTTCCGGATGCACTGCATAGTACTTATTTCAGTTGAAATGTGGCCTGTTTTTTGAGTAAATCTGTGTTTTTAGAGATATGTAGAAAAGTAATCACACACCACAGTACACAAGTGTACTATATTACACATCTCCAACTACTGCATAAGCTTTGCTGAAAATACCAAGTGCTATAATTTAAGGGCACTTACAAACTCTTTGCTATAGGACAAACACTGGCATAAGAATCACAGAGTACAGGGGGACACTAACAGCACTATGTAAATAAAACATTTTTCCAAAGAAAAAATAAATTTTCCAAAATGATGTAACAACTGTAACGACGGAGTGCAGATCATCATCCTATTATATCCACTAATTTCAGACAACTTTTAACATCACATTTGACTAGAATACTATAGGAGTTCATGGTCAGCTCAGTTACTTCAACGTGTCCAAGTCGTGTGGCTGAAAAACAATGAGGTATAATGCTTGTAGCTGTGAGAGACCAAGAACAGTGTATTATGTGTACACACGGGCTGATATAATATTTAGTAGCTTTAAACTTATAATACATAATAAATCTATTAATTTAGTCACAGAGTGCTTATGAAACTGGAAGAGATCAATTACAACACTCTTCCTCATAGTAAAAGAAGAAAAAGGAGATGGCACATAACAGTTGGGGGTTAGATATTGTGAGCTGATAATTGTGCCCCATAAGTGACCAATCAACCACTGTCATGGTTATTTTTTCACATTTCTGATTTACTCATTCTTGTCTGGATCCCAGGCAGCACGGTGGCACGGTGGTCAGCACTGTTGCCGCACAGCAAGAAGGTCCTGAGTTCAATTCCACCATCAGGCCGGGGTCTTTCTGTGTGGAGTTTGCATGTTCTCCCCGTGTTTGCGTGGGTTCCCTCCGGGTGCTCCGGCTTCTTCCCAAAGACATGCACTTTGTGGGGATAGGTTAATTGGATAATCCAAATTGTCACTAGGTGTGAATGAATGTGAGTGTGAATGGTTGTCTGTCCCTGTGTGTTGGCCCTGTGACAGACTGGCGACCTGTCCAGGGTGTACCCCGCCTCTCGCCCTACAGACAGCTGGGATAGGCTCCAGCGCCCCCCGCAACCCTGAAAAGGATAAGCGGTAGCGAATGGATGGATTGTCTGGATCCCTTCACTTCTTACCGTTATTCATCCTTCAACTCTTTTGCATTAGGTTTACTTTAGAGTGGAGTTGTTAAGTGTGAATGTGATGGACAGGGTTTTTGACACAGTTACAAAATGTATACGTTTACTCTATGTGGGTGTGTGTATGTGCTTGTTCAGTAACATGTATGTATAATGGTATGCATATAACATAAGTCTATTGTGAGCTAGCATCGTCTACAGCTCTCTATTGTTGAGATAGGTGGGAAAGTGTATTACCTGTCATCACATCTTCAGAGAAGGTAAAAGGTCTTAACATCCAGCCTTTTAGGTTAAAATACAGAGTGCTAAAACAGAGTTTATCTATACATGCTCTTGCTAATAATAAATCATCTTTATTCTTAGTTAACAATATAATGAAAGTAGAAGTCTGATTAATATTTTGAACGAGAAATGCATTTTAAATAATGACAGCGTCTGTTTTAATGCTTTAAGGGATTTTGTGTGCACCGACATGACCTTGGCAGATTAGTATCGTGATCAATATACTCAATACTTGTACATGAATAGTAAAAAGAAGAATTATTCTTATGGACAATGTCAGTACTGCAGACATCCACGGCACTCTACACTGTCACACTGTTGTGTCTTGTGTAAATGTTTTCAGGTTCTCAGAACATCGCACTTCTCTTTTTCTCATGCCCATTTATACCAGTTGTTGTCACTCTTACAAATAGAAGTTGTCATGAAATTCTCTGTTAATAAAGTCTGCAATGCGATCAGCTGTGGCCAAGGCATAGTGACAAATGAATGTCCTTCACCTGAGAAATAAAAGGCTATACAACATTCTACAGTAAAATTCTGAGCACCTGAATCTAAATGTGAGCATAAACCACAAAACTTCCATCACAAAGTGGAGGGCCTTTTTTGTTTCAGCTTTTTGTGCACTTGGCAGTTTACTAGGGTATGACATGGGGTGTGAAATGTTAATGGCTTGTCAATGACATAACCGTTCCAAGATTTGAGAGTAGGAGATGGTGCAACAGCTTAAACTTATGATTTCTTTGTGGAGGGAACAGTTTGTTTCAAATTTTGTTACTTCAATGCTGATGTGGAGGTTTGTCTGAGTGTTGGTGACCTTGTGCTGTGTCCACTGAGGTTGAGGAAACGTGGTTAGGAGACAGGAGGTAACTTTTAGGGCTATTTAACCTTATCCCTTAGTGACTCAATGGAGGAAACGTCTGGAGGAAAAGTTGCTTAAAAAGTGTTGCCAATGCTTATCTACACTGAAAGCAAGTCAAGCCCCCTCAACCCCCTCATTGAGATCATTAACAAGACTGGCTATGGATATTGTCTATGGAATAGTGCAATCATTAGCCACCTCCTCTACATTGATGGCACCAAGCTGTATGCCAGGAGTGACCAAGATATCAATTTACTGATGCATACCACTAGAATCTACAGCAATGAGCTGGGATAATAAAGTGTCCAAAGGAGGAAACAGAAGCCACTGACATCAAGACACAGAAGCTCCTCACCATGCATGGAGGGTTTCACCCCAAGTCCAGCACCCTGAGACTATACGCTAAGCAGAAGGAAGGAGGCTTAAAACTAGTGAATGTCACAACCACTATCCAGGATTAAACAACAAAGATCCATGAGGGAGAGTACCTGAGCTTGAAGGTTAAAGACCGACCGACTACAGGGCAAGGGGGGAATTATATACACGCATTCACGCACACACATATATATAAATCAACTCCACACTATGTGCCTATATTTTAATTAAACAACAAACAAAAAAAAAAACAATACAATGACAAAGTTCAGGCATGCTCATGGGTGTTGGTTGCCACAACAACAAAGAGACAACTGCAAATACTGATTGGTTTTGTTGTATACATGCTGTATTTCCTTACCAAAGCATTTCAGTACAGTACAACATTCATGTTGTATTACATGCCTCAGTGCAACATGGAGGCATGTAAGGCAGATTGCAATCACATAACTATATTCATCATTATGACAGATCTGGGGCATTACAGTGCTAGCCAGTGGTTCCCTAATGAGCATAGGAGTGGCAGTAACTAGGAGACTACTTCCATTAATACTCTTGCCTTATGTGCCAAAAAATAGCTCAATTTCTGCCAACCCTACTGTTCCATCCATTCTCCCTACCCCTCTTGAGCAAGAAAGGTTATGTTTTCTCCATGTTTTTTATCTGGTATACTCTTGAACATCAACCGGCATAGACGCGCAGCTCCACCGTCTCCTTTTCATGCTTTGTTTCTCCAAAACATGAAATGGTAATCCATTCCTGCATGCAGAAATTGCATTACCAGCAGAGGGAGATAATGTATTTAAAGCCCCGAAGTCAGTAGTGAGCAAAAAACATAGCAAGTACATTTGAGGGTCCTTAATCGTCAGAATCGATTAATCTAGGCAGCTAATATGTGTGTGCATGTAAATGTGTTGATAATGTCTGTGATTATTTTCCTGTTGGCCACCTCCATCTGTTGTTACTGCAGATTACTGCAACTTCTACATATGTGTATATTTTATGTTTTAGAAAGGCAAAGTGGGAAATGGACACGGTGGACCATAATAGCGTCCACTGTTTGTAACAGAAGCAGGAATTTCTCTGTCCATCTACTGTTAAATTTTACATTTTACAGGATTCAGGATGTGTTAAAACCCAAATTGCTGTGTATCAAGTGTATCCCCACATGCTTGCTATTAAAAGCCATTTTAGTCTTATAATTGTTTTCTCACAAACACATCTATGTTTATGTTGTCTATTAACTTGCAGTTGTTTACAAAAATCAATTCATTATAAAAATCTCAAATAACTATGAGAAAAACTGAATGTTCACCTGCGCATGTTCTTTTCCCACTGTTATTCTTGTATATGTACTGCTGTGTGCTGTGGTGCATGGGGAAGCTGTACTCTCTCAGAGATAACAGTACATTAAAAAAAAGAGTGACCTGAAACCAAGAGGAGAAAAATCATTCTTTATTTTAAAACAAGATTGTTATAATCATCGATTAAAACAACAAGAAATACAGCAAATCATATTCAAGTAATAAATATTTTTTCTTACAAACAAAGCCCAAAATACTGGCAAATATAGTGTTCGCTTCATAAGCTTGAAACACTCAGGGATATGAGTCTTATGGTCAGGGTGCTGCCTTAGTGCAAAGTTTTCAGGCTGAATTATCCTGAGATGCCTGAGCTGGCAGAGTTAAGAGAGAGAAAGAAAATGTTAGACATACCAGTGTAGACCTGGACGGGTAAATGCATCAGGAGATAAGGTGTGATTTCTAACAACCAATTTGAATGATGTAAATGAATTAGTTGTTGATGGTAAACAGTGTGCCATCAGTTACTATGAATTTGTGTGCTCAATATACACTAAAAAAAGAGTGTGTGGTAACATACGTAATACAGCTGTATAAAACTGCTTTATTAGATGATTCTTCTTTTCAGAGCTGGTGTCATATTTTAAACTTACCTTGTCGTTTTAGTCTCATTCTGAGTCCTCCGCCTTCCCTCTGTTTCTGTCATCAGCTGAGCTGTAACGTCACACAGATGCTAACAGTCAACTGTATACAAAACTTCTCAAAAATACTGTTTTTTTTATTTAAAGCCATATATCAGAAAAATAGCTATCAGTTTCCCTGATTGTTGTGCAGTTATCATACCAGTTTGTACATAGCAGAGGATAAATGACTTTAAACAGACCAGACAGCTTAATTCCTCAATGCTATATTTAGCTAATATTTCACTTGGTCAACACAGCAAAAAATCACAACTGAAAGCTTTTCTTTCTGATTTCATAACATTTAAAAAACCCGAGCTCAAACTTCTTACCTTCTAAAAGTGCATCTGAAACTTCGGTGCTGGCACAGCTGTTACTAACTTCCAGGAACTATTTGCGAGGCTCCATGATCCACCATTGCTGTAAAAAATGGTCCATTGGAGTGAATGGAGATGACAAGACTGTAGTTTCAACAGCTTTGCTATGTATGGCTTTCTGCATTTGAACTGAAACAATGCTGCCCCTTAATCGCCTGGCTGGTGTTTCAGTGCCTGTAACTTCTTATAACTAAAGTACCTGGACCTTTCACCCAGGAACATAAGAAAATGTTTTTTCAGATTGCTGGGTAGCTATTTTGACATATTTGACTTTTTTTTAAAAAAAAAATAAGACAGAAAGAAAAAGAAAAGAGAGAAAGAAGGAAGCTGTGTACTTTAAAGTAAGCAAACAGATTTTACTTATCTACCTGTATGTTTATGTTTAGTCCTGTTAAGCCACATCTGTAAGCTGTCACTTCTATTTGTTTTTAACTCACTCAGATCTTTATTGCTTTATAATGAGTCTTTTGACAATATTTTAACCGACCAGTTAATAAAACATTATTAACCAGTTATTAAGTTATTTCTTTCAATACTTTTCCAAATAATTTTGGAATGAGAAAAAGATAGAGAGGGAGATAACTAAGTTCTCAAAAGGCAGATGCCATGTAAAGGTAAATGCACTGGTCCTTGAATAGCACTTTTTTTTTTTTTACTGTACTTGAGCACTCAAATCACTACATACAACACAGCTCATTCACCCATTCTTACAAGCACTTGTATGTATGCAGGCAGCACAATGGCACAGTGGTTAGCACTGTTGCCTCACAGACAAAGACATGCACTTTGTGGGGATGGGTTAATTGAAAAGTCTAAATTGCCCATAGGAGTGAATGTGAGTGCGAATGGTTGTCTGTCCCTGTGTGTTGGCCCTGCGACAGACTGGCGACCTGTCCAGGGTGTACCCCGCCTCCCGCCCTATGACAGCTGGGATAGACTCCAGCATCCCCCTGCGACCCTGAAAAGGATAAGCGGAAGCAAATGGATGGATGGATGATAGATGCATCAGAGAGCCACTTGGGATTCAGTATCTTGTCAAATTAAACTTGAATGCAACAAACCTTCTGATTAGTAGATAATCTACTTCCTGAGCTACAACCACCCCTATGTACTATAATACTGCTGTAATACAACATTACTTTTTAGTACATTTAAATTTGCTATATTTGTCCTTCAAAACATTTTAAAATGAAGAAAGAATCTACTGCTGGCATAAGACCCGTTCATTGCTGCCCTTAAAACCACACTGTGGTTAAATGACAAATTACCGAATGATGCGAGTTACTTTTAAAATGACAACGCACTTCCTGTATCTCAAGATTTAATTCTGTTAACAAACAAACCACAAGAGAAAACTTCTGAAATAAAAATGTTACCTGCCAAATTACTTTTAATGAGTCATACAAACAAAGCAGAACAACAAATAAAAGCATTTAAACCAAGACTATCCTAAATTTAGAGTCTCAGTGAGCATGCAAAGTTCTGTTGGTCAAAGATGTTTGGACATTTGTAGACACCTACCTCTCCTTTTTGCTGTGGTCTTGGCCAACACCGTATTACACACTCAATACCATTTTTAATACTGCAGAGAAAATTCTGACCCCATCCTGCAAAACCACAAGTGACAGTGAAGAAGTCACATTAAGTTTACTTCTTACTTCTTCTTCTTTAATTAATTTTCCCAATTATTTAAATAAATATTTAAGATTAAGTTCACAAATTATTGTGATAATTATTATTTAGATAAATATAATTATTTACATAATTCCTTTAGAACTTAACAAAGGGTAAAACTGTAAAATTCCTTTAAATTTTAATAATTAAATGCATCTGTCTGGAGCAGTGCTATGCATTTCTGATCTGTCAGGAAGCGTGGGATGAGGCAAATACAGCACTCAGAACCCAGCAGACTAAAGTGAAAACTAACCTTTAATAAAGTTGTATACAGATGTCAATGATACAGTAAAACACAGGTTCGCAGAGGGAAAAAAATCCAGCAAACACTAAATTTCTTCAGACTACAGGGATTATATGACAGAAGGTTCACAAACAATCTGAAAAAAAAAATCCAAAGAAAATAGGTTCTAAATACACACAAGGGAATTAAGGTAAGTAGAGATGGGAAATAAAGTACAGCTAAAACTAATTAACACAGTGATACAAATGGAAGAAAACTGAATGCAACATACAACAACAGACAGTTGACTAACAAAATAAAATAGGAAGGGAGAAACAATCATTTCAAACAGGGAGGAACGGACTACAGATTGAATAATAATAAGGGCTGCACATATGCATTTCGGAATAAAAACACTGTGGTATAATAGCTAGCTAATGCTACTGAATTTAGGTTAGAAATACTTGCCTTGCAGATGCACTACGTTCCGTGGTGCCCACTGCTGACTGTGAATGGTCCTTTTTTCTCACTCTAAACTCACTATTGTTACTTTTATAAAAACATTTTTAAAATGTTCCCCCGTTCATGCTGCTTATCTGAAAAAACGCTATAAGATGACACTAAATTATATTGTATTTTTAATAATGCGAGCCTGTAATTTTGCAGGCATCTTATATGTATTGCTCAAACTCATTAAACTTGCAGATTCATTAAGAATAATATAGACTATGCATGCTATTGCAATAGTATTAGAAAGGCAATGCATTTCTATTATTATTACTTAATAGAAAATAATATAATAATACTATATTATTTTAAGATAGGCAAGTAAAATTAAATACACCATTTGTGATATTACCATACCTTTTAACAGTTTACTAATTCTTGCAGATATTATGTCCTTGTATGTATGTTTGTATATTCCCCATCTCCTTTTAGACTAGTTGACCAAGCTTGATGAAACTTTGCTTAAACAATGCCTAAAGCAATGTGAATGCCAACATCTATATGACGTATATAAGTATTTCATACACATCACAAAAATATATTTGACAGCTCAACTGAGCACCAAATGGAATACCATAGTATAAAGAGGAACGTCAGAATACAGAATGAAATTTCAGATTGGAGTAGTGCCCCAATAATATGTATCATAGCATCATACTATAATGATTTATATGCAAGTTCTTTAAACTTAAGATGAAGAAAAACTACAATATCTACAGTTACGCCATTATAAATAAGGATAAGTTGAGTTCATGGAGTTTTGTGATTTCTTTGTGTTGTAATTGTAACCCAGTGAGTTTACACGACTCAGTAATGCACTACAACATTGTTATTGTTAATTGTGATTCATCATTACTCTGTTAATCACTGAGTTGAGCTAAAGTAAATCAATAATAAAATATAAATAATATAAATATAAAAATAAAACTCCAGAGAGTATATTTGACACCCCTACTGGTTAGGAAGGAACAAGCCCCGCCTTCCCCTGCTCTGTACGGTAGTGATGGGATTTCTGGCTCTTTTTAGAGAACCGGCTCTTTCGGCTCGGCTCACTAAAAAGAGTTTTGTTGTGTTTTGTTGCTTTAATTAATTAATTTTCAACAACAATATAAAATTATGCACAAAAGGAATTAGTAATGTAAAAAAACGTGGTTTTCTTTATGTATTGTTGAGCTAGTTAATAGGTATGCCCTCATTGTCATCTGTTGTGATTTTATTTTGAAAGGATGCTTCCTGTTATGCTGCGGAGTATACACGAGAGTTCAATAAACAAAGTCACCTTTTGGTGTGAATGTTCCGGTAAAAGCCGATGCCCCACGTGTGATTATTCCTCCGTCTAGACAATAAGTATCTTTAATATTCATGCAGATTCTGCTGGAAGACCCGTCTCTGCTAACAGGTTATGGGCCCAGGAAAATATTGAAGCTACGCCAGGGGAAAGTTTACCACCAGAAAAGTCGCAAGGTACAGCGTGTTCGGTGAGGACTAGCATGCTAAGTTAGCACCATGAGTAAGCGTGCAGGTGAACCCAGTGGCCGATGGGTAAGGTTGGTTTTTGACGGAGACGAGAAGAATTATGAACTGTGGGAGACAAGTTTTTTGGGACATCTTAGATTACAAGGTCTGAAAGACACAATATTTAAAAGTGATGACGAAGATGAGGACGGCGAAGATAAGAATGCCCAGGCCTATGCAGAGAGAAAGAAGCTGCCGATGATGGACGCGAGGCACTGAAAATTTTACGAGACTATTATGCGGGAAAAGGTAAACCAAGAATTATCAGCCTTTATCAGAGAAGTCAGAGAACTGACTTCTCTGAAGAAAGCAAGCAGTGAAAGTGTCACCGAGTACATCATACGCGCAGAGACATTTATTACAGCCCTGAGAAATGCTGGAGAGACACTTAGTGATGGTCTGCTTGTAGCGATGGTGTTAAAATGTTTACCAGAAGCATTTAAACCTTTTTCTCTTCACATTACGCAAAGTGAATCAGAAATCAAGTTTGCGGAATTTAAAACAAAACTCCGCAGCTAACAACAAGAACAAGAGGATAACATCATGAAGGCGAGAGTGCAACCCAACGCGAGACCCGCAGCAGCTGCTAGTGATCACAGGAGAGACATGTCAGACATAGTCTGTTTTAAGTGTGGCCAGCGGGGACACAAGGCCAGAGCATGCCGCTACAAACAGTGGTGCGGTCACTGTAGAAGCAACACCCATCGAGAGTCAACTTGCGGGAGACGACAACGGAATGATGAAGCGCGCACAGCCTCGGAGGAGGGCGGCAACGCAGAGAGCGACGACGCCTATGTCTTCCGGATGAGCGATGACTACCCGGTATGAGGTGCCGTAAGGGACATTATTACTGAAACACTCTCACACACACTACTGAAACGCTCTCACACACACTACTGAAACGCTCTCACACACACACACATGGAAACGCTCTCACACCACTACTGAAAACGCTCTCACACACACTACTGAAATTTTACGCTCTCACACACACTACTGAAATTTTAGCTCTCATCTCACACACACTACTGAAACGCTCTCACACACACTACTGAAACGCTCTCACACACACTACTGAAACGCTCTCACCACACCCCACCACCACTGAAACCAGAGGCATTTCTGCTGAACAGGAAGTTGTTTCCTGACAAGGAAACTGAT